ACTACTACTAACTACGAGTACTACTAGAACCCGACTGCCGGGGTACGAACCCCTCGCCGGGGCGAGGGGAGAGGGGCGACGCCTGCCGCCCCGCGCGGGCGCGGTGGATTCAGTGGGGCACCGGCTCTTCTCGAACGGTCGAGGTGGAGGTCGATGCCACGGTCATTTGCAAGTGGAACGCCGAGGAGAACGCCGAGCTGACGCATTCATATTACTGTTACATTGGCATTCGCCAGCGAGGTAGCACGTCCCACTTCGCCATGATGCCGCTGGGCGTGAGCAAATCTCAGAGGAGGGGCATTGGAGACACCGGCGGAGTCCCCTCCGGAGGGGGGGCCGGGCTCTCGTCGCCACGGCCGGGCGCAGTTCGGAAAACGTCCGTTCGTTGGCCCCGGGGAGGGTCCGGGAGGCGATTGTGCTCTGAGTCTGAGGTGCCAGTGTGTCAACTCCCCCTCCTCCGATAATCCACCGGCGAGGGCCGCGTGGCCCCCGAATCGTCCGAGGCGTATCGCGCTTTCTGCAAGGAGATCCTTGGCGACCGCAAGTACAATCTGCTGCTCATGACAGACGGCGCGGGCTGCTACAAGTGCCGCTGCTCGGATTGCGTCGTGCGGTTCGAGGAGCACCACAGCGTGAACCACTCCAGGAAGCCGAAGGCCGAGTTTTCCCGGCCCATCCCCGCGGTCGTCGCCGACGTCGACACGGGCCACACGAGGGGATCTATGGCTGGCACGATGACGATCGACAAAGAATGGGATCTTCTCAAGGAGCCTTTGCCACGGAACCTGACTGCCCGCGCTGTGGAGGACGTCGATAGGACGGACGGCTACGTGAGGTCTCAGCAATGGCGGCGCTTGGTCGGCAACGACGATCGATGGTCGGCTTTTCTCGACGCAGCCAGGGAGTGGGCGAAATGCGCCGATTCCAGAGCGAAGCTCAAGCTGGGTCTGGCAACGGGGAAAGCGGGCAAGTTGGCTCTGGCAGCGGGGAAGCGCTTGGCCGCCGAAGCCAACCCAGCAGATCATCGGGAGGAGCGCGGGCCAAACCACCCCGAAGAACAGGGGCAAGAGCAGCGGGAGGAGCGCGCCCAAGAGCATTCCCAAGAGGCACCCGCACGCCATCGCGACGGGCATGCCGACGGCCGCGGCCCCGAGCATCGTGACGGGCAGGGTGGCCCCGCGCGCGGGCCCACCGCGCCGCCGGCGGCGGAGCCGTGGGTGCCCCCATGGCCGCTCCCGCCGCCGCCAGCCTGGCACGCGGGCGCCCTGTGGGGCGATCGGTATCTTGAGCGCCAGGGCAGCGCTCCCGTGTGCGGCCGGCATGCCTTGAACAATTTGTTGGGGGCGCCGCAGTTCTCGGACGGCGACTTGGAGGTGGCGCGCGGCATTGTGGTGGCTCAGACAGATGATCCCCCCGACCTTCACGTGAGCGATGGAGGATGGTACTCCCGCTCCGTGCTGGCGACTGTTCTGGATTCCGTCGTCCCTCCGTCGTGGCGAATGTTGTTGCGGCCTCTCTTGCCGTCTTCGTGGCAGGCATTCACGAGCAGCGACGACATGTTGGGGGCGCTGGTGAACCATAACAACGTCCATTGGTCGGCTATCCAG